TGACGAGAACATGTTCAATGAAATATTATTATTTATATAATTTATTAATATTTATGTGAAAAATAATGATATATTCTAACTTTTAATAACAAAATGTAAATTATGATTTATGTTATTTATATATTTAATTTATAATACAATCATTTTTTTGTGCATCGCACGACCATGAACTACCATATATCCATAGAGTTAATAATATATAAAAATGTTAAGTATTTACTTTAAATAGCGTGTGAAATTTTCTACTAAAATTTTTAGTTACTAAAAAAATTCCGTAGCTAGTTTTTCTGTCTTTTTCTTTTGTCCTTATAAGCATTTCCATTTTTTTTTAAAAAAAATTAATAATTAAATTTTTTATTGATTTTATTTTTACAATGAATTGAGTAAAAAATATTATAATTTATAGAAATAACATCTACACACAAATCCATGAACTTTCTTTCTTTCCATACGCAAAATATTTTTTATAATTATAATTATAACCATTCATATGATATTATTTATATGATTTAATTGTGTTTTATTTGAAAGTATGAAATAACATGATTTTTATTTTGAATGTATTTATTCGTAGTAAATACATATGTTTATTTATTTAATAACTTATGAATAAGATATCATTAATATATTAACTAAAAAAAAATAGTTTGATTATTTTACTAACTCATTATGGCATTTGCGTCATCTTCATTTGTAGAATCTACTACTTAATTTTATTTTTCTAAAAATAATTATTTTTATGAATTTATACATATTAAACAAATAATAAAAATAATTAATTAATCTTTAATTCTATAATTTAGAATATTTATATATAGGTCTCTGTTATAAACATTTGTTAAATATAAATTATTTTATGTCATAAAATGAATGTATTTAAAGAAAAATAAATAAAATTTCTTTTGCCTTTCCCCGGATTTACTGGTCACTTTCAGATCATTTGTCTAACAGTTAAAAAACATGAAATAACTTGGGTTGCATCCAATGAGCATACTAATTATTATTCCCTCCGTTTTTTATTAAATGTCGTTTTAATTTAAAACTTCTAAATTACGATTTTAATGGGTTGTGTAATAATCTTATTTTTTAATCTTATTAAATTTAGTTTTTGAATTATTAATGGGTGGTTTTTAAAGATAATGATAAGAGATAATGTTTGTTAAAGAGAATAAAGATGTAAGAATGAATATAGTATTTCCAACGACAATTAATTTGCAAAAAAGTTGACACCCTACAACTACATTTAAAACGAAACAGAGGGAGTATGTGTCAAGTGTCAACTTAGTTAAACCAAATCGAATACTGACAATAAATACAAATTTTAATATAATGAATATTTTGTTATGCCAAATATGATGCAGTCTAAATAATCAAATCAAGAAGCTTTGATGAGAATATGTTCGATGAATAGATTTATTTATCATTTTATTAACTTTGTGTGAACAAAATGGTTATGTATTATAACTTTTAATAATACAGTAAATTGTGATTCATGTAGTACAATTTTGATATTACTTCATTGTGCATGGCACAAGAACATCAATTACATGTTCATAAATGAAATAGAAAATTTGGATAAATTAAATGCATCTTTTTAGGTCATTGATATTGGTTAGGATATATATAAGCTTGACATGCGGTACAGTTGAATTAGTATTGCTGAACGGGTTTGGGGTTATGGTCGATTGAGATGAATTTTATTCTATATATATGCGCCAAAAGAATATTCATCTAATAGGCCTAAGGATTCTGTCCTATGATATGATATTGACAGAAATCTAATAAAATTATATATATTTTATTAGAACTTGTCGGTGGAAGATTAATTAATTTGACGCATGCATTAGTTGAAAAAAATAAGCATGATCATTTGCAAACAGAGAATACAATTTACATTGCCATGTTACATTTATTTCATTCGAGATCACGGAATTATAGAGCTTTCATTTGAGATCACGGAATTATATTGCATATATAATTCTAGTATGGGCATCTTTTTTGCCGCTTTGTCAGAGCATATTGAATTAGCTTGCAAAGTTGACGATGGCTTGGTCATAACTACACTATTAAACGAAACGAGCCGTCCATAAACTTTGACTTACCTTGGTGTGTCTCGAGTTTGGATAAACGAGTCGAGGCTCGTTATGGCTACAAAAAGACTTATATAATTTTTTATATTTCTTTTCTTTTTTTTTTCGAAATTGTGGAATTTATATAATAAAAACACACTAGCTACTACATACTAGAAAAACAACCGAATCAATCAACTACAAAGCTGAATCTAGATAGAGGTCAACTCAAATATAGAACACATACACAACTTAAAAAGATACTACAATACTCCCACAACTGGAGAATATGAACTCCAATAATGGAGAATAAAACAACAAAACAAACACAAACACACAAAAAGAACAAACTCTACATAGAGATTGACCCTACTAAATAGAAATTAAAGCCCTCCCAGCTACTGTCAAGCAACACCAAAACCACCACCACACGAGCCAACAAACGAAGGCGACGAAAGAAGCCAACACTGTCTTCTCCACCACGTTGCTGAAAACCTCGGTCAAAGCCATCCGCCAGAGGGAGAACCTCCAAGCACGAGGAACCGAAACAAAGTGGATAAGACGGTGTATTCACTGATGCCGATCACCTTGGGAGTGGAGAGGAGAGCCGCAACTGCGAGGAGGCGAACTTATGCTCTGTTCGGAAGGAGTTTTTCGGAGAGAAATTTGGACTGTCAAATTCGGGTCGTGTTTTGTTTTGATTGTCATAGTTCAGCTCATTAAGTTTTGAGTTTGTCTTGTTAAGGTTCATGACTCGATAATATTGATAAACAAGCTAAGTTCAAGCTCAATTACTGACTCGTTTACTTAACTCATTTATACCCTTAATCATAATTGATATATGTTATTGTTGGTGGTTATATTAATTTAGGTCTATCTAATTAACATAACAAACACTTTAGTTGTTTCCATAAAATGCTTGTTGAACTTTGACACCATAGCTCTAGAAAGACATACTAAAGAAGCAAATGTAAGTTTCGATATATTTCCAGAAAACAAGGATGCTAATCAAGGTTGAACATCAAAGTCTAGGATTTATTATGTGTCAAATTTGTCAATGGTTGTTGACAAGAAGTATGATATCCATATCACAACATTATTACTCCTATTATGGAAAAAAGCACCCTTGGTATAGGTAGCAAGGTCATTTATTTGAAAAACTATTTTCTACGAAGGATTAATTAATTAAGTCTCATTATTCAGTAGATAATATAATAGCGACACAAGCAAAAATTCAATTCACGAACGGATACCAGTATTATAATATAATATTAACTAGTGTGTATCCCGTGCGATGCACGGACAAGCTTTTTACTTAAAACCTTTTCTAAGACTTTATATTAAACATAGTTATTTATGTTTGACATCTCATTATTGTAAGAAAAGAAAAACCAAATAAAAAAAATTACATATTATTTATTTGAATATAATGAATGTCATCAACCAAACTAATAACATCCAATATAAACATATGATATATGATAAATTATATGATCGTCATATTTTTTGAAAAAAAATCATCAATTAAGTTGAACTATCTGAATATAAAAAATAATTTATGATATCATTGACCATATTTACCCGTTGTATTTAAGATATTGTTGACCATATTTTTAAGATTTACAAAATATCTTTTTCAAAATAGTATTTTTTTTAATTTGAATTTGACTTTTTCATCCATTTTTTTACAAAAAATAAAAAAATAAAAATAGTATTTTAAAAAATTTTAGACGAAAATCAAATAATTTTAAAACATATCAAAATTAATTTTGAATTATTTTATTTAAATATGGAAAAACAATCGGATATGTTATTAAGATAAATGGAGTCTTTTTAAAACTCTTCAAAATCTGATTAGTTCTGAATTATTTTATTTTAAATAAGTAAAAAATGTTGGATATGTTATTAAGATAATGGAGTATTTTTAAAACATATCAATATTAATTTTGGAATAATTTTATTTAAATAAGGAAAAAAATCGGATATGTTATAAAAATAATCGAGTCTCTTAAAAATATATCAAAACTAATTTTGAATTATTTTATTTAAATAAGGAAAAAAAATCGGATATGTATGGGCCATATTGTTAAGAATCCACATTAAGTGGACCTGTTTAAAATTAATTTTGATTTTTTTTTAAATAAGGAAAAAAATCAGATATGTATGGACCATATTGTTAAGAATCTACATTAAGTGGAATTGTTTAAAATTAATTTTGAAATGAAAAAAAAAATCGGATTAAAATAAATTAAAAGGAAAAAATTCAAAACGTGAAATTAAAATTAAAAACGTGAATTAAAATTAAAAAAATTAAAAATACAAAATTTACCAAATCTCAACCCATCAAAAAAAAGGAAAATCGAGTGAAATAAAACGTGAAAAAAAAGGAAAAGCGAGTGAATTAAAAATGTACCAAATCGGATTTTAAAAAAATGGTAACAAATCTCATCTCATCTCATCCTAAAGAAAAGGAATTATAACAAATTTAACAAAAAAACAACCAAATCTTATCCTAAAATAAAACAATTCAAATTTGGACGAAAACAATTCAATTTAAATTTAAGGGGGAAAAAATGATGCTTAAGCGGGAAATGAAATATTTATTCAAACATTTTTTCTTCTCCATATTATATAGTAATAGATATGTTAATATTGTTTTGCTATGGAGATTAAATCTCAAAGTGTAATCCAATATCAACTGCACAATTACATTCATAGACGAAATATTTATGCTAGAAATAAACTTGCACAACAGGAAATAAACCCTAATAATAATAATAATAAACTTGCACAGTTTGACAGTTGCACAAGACGAAATATATTTTGATCACAGGGCAGAGGTTCCAGAGTCTTACCGTACTAAGTTGAACAAGTTTTCCATGTAATCCCTGTCATAGGTCTTTCCAACAACATGTACTGCACTTGTTATGATCAAGTCCACCCAAGATATTTAACCTGATAATAACAATGAAAAAATAAGAATAAACGAAGTTTGCTAATAAAATAATGTAAAGAAAACAAAATTTCTCCTACTGATAACCTAGACAGCTAGACTTAACATCTAACAATGAATATAGTAAAAATCAATTGCTAATTACGTGCAGATTAGTTAACAGTAAGAAATCACTATACCATCAACTAAAGATTAGTTGACTTCATCAATTTACCTTTTAAAATATATTAAGCCTGCACATGATGAAATCAGCTCACGAGACAGACAAAAAATGAATAAACTAAAAAAAAATTGCATCATGGCTCATGTCAAAGCCCCAGGTTGTAAATTGTAATGTAACCTATGAGCTACCTTCATTCACATTTTTTCTCCTTAGCTTTTCAACCCCTAATGAACAGAATATCCCAGAGCTGGATCGTCTTAACAGAGAATCATGACAAGATCCAGTAAAGCCCCTTCTTTTCTTCTTTTCATACTATGTCTTTTTCTGCGTGTTGTCCGAATTTCCAGTTCGGCCGACACAATAAACTCGAACCACGTCCTTCGAGACGGCCAAACACTAGTCTCCTCCACACAGATTTTCGAGCTTGGTTTTTTCAGCCCCAACACCTCCACAAACCGATACCTTGGAATTTGGTACAAAAACATAACACCTCGAACCGTCATTTGGGTCGCTAACCGCGAATCCCCACTAACAAACGGCATCCTCACAGTCAACTCTTCCGGCCAGTTGCTTATCCGCGACGAAACAACTAACCGAACAATATGGTCCTCAAAATCATCAAGAGCACCTAGTTATAACCCGTTGGCCCAATTGCTCGACTCTGGAAATCTCGTAATCCGAGAAAAACCGAACAGTAACAACTACTTGTGGCAGAGCTTCGACTTTCCCACCGACACGTTCGTCCCTGGAATGTCGGTCGGGACTAACCGTCTCACCGGAGAAGAAAAACACCTCACGTCGTGGAAGTCGGAAAACGACCCTTCTCCGGGAGATTTCACGATCGGAATGGAAATCACGGGATACCCGCAGATCATCATCAGAAATCGCGGGGTTCTCGAGAACAGGATTGGGCCTTGGAATGGGCTGCGATTTAGCGGAATGCCCAACGTGAAACAGAACCTAACCATGACTGCGACGCTGTTTATGAACGAAACCGTGGCTTACTACTCGGGATTTGCTGTTGACGGTTTGATTTTCTCGAGGTTTATGTTGAGCCACAGTGGAGCTGGGCAGCAGCTGACTTGGGTGAGCTTGAGTCGCGAGTGGGTCGTTTTCTACAAGTTTCCGGCGGATATATGCGATAGTTACAGGCTATGTGGCGCGCATGGAAATTGTAATAACGATAATTATCCGGTTTGCGGTTGTCTTGAGAGGTTTGTGCCGAAAGACGAGGCCAGCTGGCTGAGGTCTGACTGGTCGAGCGGGTGTGTGAGGAGGAGCGAGTTGAACTGTAGAGATGATGTGTTTTTGAGATACTCGGGGATTAAGTTGCCGGATTCGAGGTACACTTGGTTTAACGAGAGTTTGAGCTTGAAGGAATGCAAGGAAGTGTGCTTGAGGAATTGTAACTGTACGGCTTATACGAATTTGGATATACAGAGTGGGAGAGGGTGCCTGATTTGGTTTGGAGATTTGGTTGATGTGAGAGATTTGCCTGAAGAGCAGCAAGTGATTTACATCAGAATGGCTGCTTCTGAATTAGGTAATGTTTTTTTTGTAACTATACAATTCTCTTATTATTACAAAGCTGTTGAAGATGGAACTTGTAAAATGACGAGTTATATTTTTTTTTTTCCTCTTTCTTTTAAGTCGATCTTTGTCTTGCAAATGACACAGGTTCGAAAGGGATGAGACGGATTCTCATTGCTATTTTTACATCACTGGGGGGACTTCTTCTACTGGGAAAGAGCCTGGCATTTTTTATTTGGAAGAGGAAGAAGAGTAATGAAGAACAGAGGAAAGAAGGTAAGCTGACTTCTGTGCATTTTGTGGTGATTTGGGTAGAAAGAAAACAAACAAGAAAAGAAAAAGAATACAGAAAAGAAAAAAAGAGCAGAAATCTATGTTATATTCTACAGATGTTCATGCCTACTTTTAGGGCTTAACAGCTATATATCATGTTGTCTGTGATTGTCACGCTGCAGATGAGGTTGAAGATAAAACTGAAGACTTAGAACTGCCTATCTATGATTTATCGACAGTAACTATAGCTACCAATGGTTTCTCAGAAGGCAACAAGCTCGGGGAAGGTGGATTCGGACCTGTTTACAAGGTAAAATATGGGGAAACACCATTGTTGAACCATTTCTGCTTTATAGGACACTCTTAATATACAAATCCTTAGGCAACATTGACATACAACATGGAAAATAAAACGTATCAATAAAATGCATTTTTATTTTTTTTTTCAAAATTCATCACCTTTGACGTGATATCTTAGGGAATGCTGGAAGGTGGCAAGGAAATAGCAGTTAAACGGCTGTCAGAAACTTCTTCTCAAGGACTCGATCAGTTCAAGAATGAAGTTATTTGCATTGCCAAACTTCAACATCGGAATCTTGTGAAGCTTCTAGGTTGCTGCCTTGAAGAAAATGAAAAGATGCTGATTTACGAATACATGCCTAACAAAAGCCTGGACATCATCCTATTTGGTGAGGATTTACTCAACACAAGTATACCATATTGTTATAGCACTAACTCTGCTGCCAAACCAGAGTATATAAACACATACTAACCATAAACAAGAAATGTTACAGATAAAACAAAAGGCCAACAGCTCGATTGGCCAAAGCGCTTTCATATAATCAACGGTATTGCCAGGGGACTATTGTACCTTCATCAAGATTCTCGGCTAAGAATTATACATAGGGACCTCAAAGCCAGTAATGTATTGCTTGATAATGATCTGAATCCGAAAATATCAGACTTCGGCATGGCCAAAATATTTGGAGGGAACGAGACAGAAGCCAACACAAGACGAGTTGTTGGAACATAGTAAGCGGTCTTAAATTTACACATCCATTTTAGAATCATCTGGAACATTTGAGCTAATGAACTTTACGGTTTCCTTAGTTTTTCATTTTTTTTTTTGCAGTGGCTATATGTCACCAGAATATGCAGTCGATGGCATGTTCTCACTAAAATCAGACGTATACAGCTTCGGCGTTTTAGTGCTAGAAATCGTGAGTGGCCAGAAAAACAGAGGCTTTCATCACAAGGATCATCATCACAACCTTGTAGGGCATGTAAGTTTTCAGTCAGTCTCAGAAATATCATTAGCAGCCTGTTATGGTTGAATTACTTATATTTTTGTAAAAAAAATAATAATAAAAAAAAAAAAAACAATGGCTGCCTGCAAATATTAATGCCTTGATGTGCTCAGGCATGGTTGCTATACAAAGAAGGAAGGTCATTGGAACTAGTTGACCGCAACATAGCGAACTCGATTTACTTGTATGAATTATTACGGTCAATCCATGTGGCGCTTTTGTGTGTTCAACAACGTCCAGACGATAGGCCGAGCATGTCCTCAGTGGTTTTAATGTTGGGCAGTGGAGGAGTTTTACCTGAAGCTAAACAACCTGGCTTTTTCACAGAAAGGCATGGCTTTGGTTCCGAAACATCAACCAGCACTAATGCAACAAGGTCCTCGAATGAGTGCACAATTACACTATTAGAAGCTCGATAAAATCGTACCACATGGGAAGTATTTTTGTTGCTATTGGCTCGACACCGTTACTTTGCCGTATTTAAATGGCAGGATATTCTTTTTTTTTTTATTATTTTTTTTTGTCTAGTTAGCTGTATATTTTCATTTCAACTCTTAGGCTAGGCCCTCTCGTGATTAATGAAACTCATATTCTTTCTTTGTTTTGGGTAATAATTTAGAGGAAATGTTGATTGAGGATATTGGAAGGATTTTTTCATGGTTTCATAGTCAAGTTTTAGGAACTTGCATTAAAATGTTTCACCAATTGTCCAATATTTTGCTTGTCTTGTATTGGAGGAGCATAGCAACTTTAACACTAGCTCAAATAGTCTCTTCATGAATTTTGAAACAGTCATCGAACAAATTAGGCTGGAGGAAATCGTATAGCAGGAAATAATAAGCAATTTAACACCAAAAACTGTTGTTATTTTCTAGTAACACCATCTTCCATTTCTTCATAAATTTCATGCTAAAAACCCATCAACTATGTCCGCATATGCATACTTTCACACACAATTGACATACTTCGAAAAAAAACAACATAAACAAATTAAGGTTTGTCTCAGTTGTATAAGTATGCATTTTCGTTCAAGAACTATGACGGGTCAACCCGCATAACTACTAAGCTGTCTCACACAAGAATTTATATTTTTCTATCTGTTATATTCACTTAGGAGGAAATGACCCTAATTGACAGTGATATCAAGTTGACATAATATTCTAAGTCAATCATAAAGCTAAAATGTCAGCTCATGGACTATAGAACGTCACGCCCGTCGATGTCGCTTAGGCTCAACGCATTCTGCAATTATATATAGGGGGATGTATTTTTTTATTAACATGTATAGTATATTTTTAATAAAAATTACCAAATATGGAAAAAAAATTAAGTTTATATTTTCACGCTCAAATGGTTTTTAACAAATTGAACTCGAGTTAATCAAACAACTTTAGCAATTTTATTTACTAAATTATTCGAACATAAACGAGCTCGGACTTTGATAAATAATTCAACGAACGAGCTCGAACACAAATTTTCACTCAAACAATAAATGAACGAACAAGTCACTAATGATTGACCATAGACCAACACGAGCTCGAACCATTGAAGTTCGGCTCGTCCAGTCCGGTTACAACTTACAACACTGGTTGCCGGGACTTTTTGGCAGAGGAAACAGAACAAATGAGATAAGTTACACTGACCAAGCCATAGGAGCAGTTGCATTTAAATTTAGTTGGGCCCATGTGAGGTGGAATCATCATGGCAGTTGGAGTGCTTATTAACTTAGATTTCCACTGTTGATTAGAATAGTATTATACTCCTAATCACGGATCATATGCATAAGATTTGCACAGTGAACAATTAAATCCTCCACTCAAAAACCAGTTGACTTAATTACATTAATCCCGGCTATGTCAGATCGCCTCACGAGATTTCCAAATAATGTGCCCAAATCCCAATCGTGAATAACGAAGCCAACGATTGCCTTTTTGCTCATGTTATCAAGAAAGTGAACTGATTTGAAGAAAAAAAACAAAAAACAAAAAAAACCCGTGATTTTTCCTCACAGATTTTCTCATCAATTTCAGCTCTGTATATATCTATACTTATATTAAAGGGAGTCCTATTTACCAAATTTAGTAGCTAGAAAAGTCAATAACATTTATTGTCATTACTATTTCCGTATTATACAGTTTTATTTAATCTTTGTTTTTCTGTTACGATTTTTAAAAACAGACATGATCAAATTCTTTCATCATTAATTACTTTTCATTAATTATAATTTATTTATTTCTTATTTTCTTAGCAAAAACGGACCAACATTAATTGATTTCCTTAAAATGTGGAAGTTGTTGTTTTATTTTTGTACAGAAAATCGGGTTTCATTATAGAAATTTGTTCAATTACACAATGAATTTTCTATGATATAATTATTTTTTATGGGAACTTTTTTTTTAACAGAAAAATATGGTATTTCAATAAGATTTTCGATTTTTTAAGACTGATCGTTATCATGATATGAAATTGAACATTCCAATATACCTTAACAAAATATACACGTGGTGTATACATCAGTTAATAGAAATATAGAATCCTCATATTTTTATATATACATATGTAATTTTTCTATTACCAAATTTAATTGATAGTTGTTGTGTTATGAGTTTTTTCATAATTGTTACTTGGTCGTTGTGATATTTAGTTTGGTTGGTGTCGCAAAAATTCTAATCTATATATATAATAAGAATAATCACTACAATGCAAATTAGAAAAATATTGATATTAGAAGAGATTGAGTTCATGGCTTTTCTTAAATTAAAGTTGTTTAATTAGTATACAAAATTAAATTCTAAAAAAATATATGTGTATATTTTGTACATTATTTATACACTATTTAATTTCAAATTTATTTACGTATTTTAAATTGATTACTTATATAAATAATACCAACGTGCATTAAATATATTTCATTACATAAAATAAAAAGAACAAGAAGACGTGTAACTTGTATAACTTTATAAATAATAATGACATTATAGGCAACAAAGTTTAATAATTAACTATTATATAGTGAATAAGAATAAATTGTTATTTTCTCTTATATCAAGGAATAAATATATAAATAAAATTAAATTTATATTAGTATAAATTTGTTAGTGAGATAATATATTAATTATTTTAGAAGTTAGTCCTAACATGCTCATGTTTAATGTTCTGGCTAATAAAACAACGCTGATTAAAAGATGTGAAAAATAGATTACAACACTATTTTTTTAGACTTAACGGTGATTAAAAGAGGTGGAAAATAGATGATAACTCTTTTCAGACTTAAACGAGACTTAACGGTGATTAAAATATGTGAAAAATGGATAATAACCCTTCTCAGACTTAAACGGACAGAGCTTGTGAAAATAATTCATTTAATCTCTCTCGTGCATCGCACGGGGTACGTACTAGTTATAATTAACAACCCAAAATCCAAATATTGCTACCAAAAAAATCGTGAACAATGAAGACAATAGCTGCCTTTTTTGCTCATGTCATCAAGAAAGTGATCTGAAGGCTGAAGTTGAAAAAAAAAAAAAAAAAAAAAA